GGGATTTTTAGTACAGACAGCAAAGGAGATATCCCGGGGGGTGGGGGGGAAGAGGGGGGAGGAGGAGGTTAATAGGATGCAAATTTCTTAGCTATTTTATCTTTCTCCAAAGAAGTTCCCAGTCTCATGAGGGAACTGTCGGTAACAGCAGTGTGTAATTTTAATGGAGGCATGTGCCTCTGTTCTGTTGCCATCTTGAATAAGGAAGCAATCTGAAATTTAATGGAAAATGTTTCAGCACCCTCTATTTTCATGTCTAATCCCTGGTGTCACATACCTACTGAATTCCAAAAATCGCGTTTCCCTACTCCTCTCAGCCAAGTTCACCGTAACTTTCTGATTGCTGTGAGTGTGATTTGCTTTGGTTTTGCAGAGCTGGGAATTTGGCATCCCACTATGCAGAGAACTGGCCATACAATATGAAAGTCTCTATGACTATCAGAGCCTCAGCTGGATTCGGGTAAGTAGTAGCAGTTCCTCTCCTTGCAGTCTCGAGTGACTTTCCAGGGAATTTTGACCTAGTGTCAGAAAATTATGACTTTTAAAAACTAAACATCTTTCCAGTACAGCGCCATGTGTTTACACTGACTCCTTTCATTCGTTTCAACAATGCTGTGAGCCCACTGATGTAATTGCTAGGTTTGCAAGCAGTAAATTCCAGTGAGTATATGGACCACGCGCACACGGGAGCTAGGCCAGCTACCGCAGTTACATATTTATATATATTTTGTCATAAGACTTGTCCTTTTTTTTCTCTTCTCTTTTTAAAAAAAAAAAAAAGATGTATTGATATTTCATTTTAATTCTAAAAGTATCAAGGGCAGCTTGTATCTAAGTTGAAATGAGAGGAGCAAGCAAGAAAAACACAACAAAGACAAGTATCTGTGGCGTGCTTGTCAATTGTACTGCTCCTCTGATAAAACCAAGAATGTGATCAAATCAAGGCAAAATTGCAGCATCATTGTTTTAATCCAAAAAAAAAAAAACAACAGAGTTTTCACTGGTACTTTAAAGCTTTATAAATGCAAAAGTAGTTCATCTTCTGTCATCCCCTGCGGTAGAACGCAAAAGTCCAAATTTAGATATATATTACATAAATGCATACTTATACACAGTGGTTGAGATTCCCTTCAGAGATCAAGTTTATTCTCATCTGAAGAAAGATATGTAACTAGGTCTGATAAAGTACGTTTCTGAAGAACCTATTTCTTCAGCTTGGCTGTAAGGAATGTATGGATTACCATCTTGCTTGTGCGCTTGTATGTTGTAGACATCTAAAATTAGGCAATGTAGAAATTCATCTTGGTGTACAGGAAATACCATATTCGTAAAGTGATCGTAAATGATGAGCAAACAAGCCTATTAAAAAAGCTTAGTTCAGTAATGCTTCAAGGTTATCCTAAAACGTCCTTTTGTCCAAGATTAGCCATTCTTCCTGCCTCTTTATTGTTTGGATTTAATCAACTGGAAAGTGAAGAGCATTTCAGCTGATCAGTAGAACCAGCTCATCTCCTTCTTTTGTTCACCTATGTGAGGTCTGTCTTCTGTTCAAGTTCCCTAAAGCTGTGTTGACCTGAATTGACTGAATTTCTCCTCACTCAAAAGAGTTTTTCTCTATGCCTTTCACATTATTCAGCCCATTCCTTTATTCTTCCTGCAACGATTTTGAGACCTCCTCCATTAAAAAAAAAAAAAAAAGAGTTAATGTGTGTGGGAATAGAGAACAAAATTGTGATGCAATGTTCTAAGTCAAAGCTGATTTTAGAATCTCCTGCAGTGGAAGCAAAGACGTCAAACTGAGTCTTCTCTTTAAAAAGCTATCTTTTTGCTATGGTAAAATTCCTGTGAGTATTTCAGCTGAGATTCAACTTGGCAAGAGGTCTTGAAATCCCACTCTTAATATAAATGCTAGCATACTGCCATAATGTTAATAATTGGAAGTAGGAAAAAGTCCTTTTCCTTTTTGCAGAACCCTTTTTTGTTCCATGTTAAGCTTATTGGTACATAGAGCTGTAGAAGATCTTATTTTGTTTCCTCCTTTTTCATGCCCTTAAGCCCAATTAAAGCAAACATGATTGAACTGATGGGATTTTTTCAGACAACAGTATAGATTTTGAGCTACAGGGGAGGGAATATGGTTAGCATAGGACACTGGGAGCAGCCAGGCAAAGAAAATTCCACCTGTTTAATTTAAAAGAAGATACTAGAGAAAAAATTTTCATGCATCATCTCTCAAAGCATAAAATAGGTATGATGATACCCCTTACTGATACCCAGTCTGTTCCACCATGTAGACTGTTTAATTAATAATTTTAATCTTTGGAAAAATTCAGCCCTTTCATAAAAGGGCTGTGAGCAAAACAGTAATGTCAGATTTTAATGTGGGTTGCGATTCTCAAGAGTTTGAGAGCAGTTGTCTTTTTCCTCCACAGAAAATGGAAGCTACCTATTATGACAATATCATGGAACAGCAGCGCTTGGAACCTGAGTTTTTCCGAGTTGGTTTTTATGGTCGGAAATTCCCATTTTTCCTGCGGGTAAGCCAGGCTTATATAAAGTGTGACAAAGTTACCAAGCTTGATTTAGCAGCTAAGGCTTTGGATTTTTGCAGGGGGTGAGGTACGATATGACATTCACTGTTCAGCTTGGGTTTTTTTTTTTTCTCTTTATTTAAATTAAATTAAATTATTTTTGAAATAAAGTTTTACCTTAAAAAGAATAATGATTAATACTGCAGCCTTTTTGTGCCTTTTCTTCAGTGCTGCTTTCTCCCCTAGAGCTTTTAGTATTTCGTGTTGTTTTGTAACACTGAAGAACTTTCTGCTATAGTTGTATCCATACCGGCTGCCTGTGACCCCTGTCGCTCAGCTCTGGTTTTGCATGCAAGGATGTTCTAAACATATAGGCATAGAAAGCCTTTAAACCGCAGTGGTAAGCTAACCAAGCACTGTGCAGAACGGGAAGAATTGTTTTTGGCATCTCATCTTTTTGTCCCCCCCGGCATCACCATCCTCCCCCCAAAAAAGGGAGCTTGTTATATCTGCACAAGTAGAACCAGCTTTCTGGCTGAAATGAAAGAGGCAAACTATCGGGCATGTTCTTGGGAACAGAGATCAGAATTGTGACTCATGCTTATGCATATTTTTAACAATCACATGCAGACTCAGCATAAATTCCCTCTATATTAAGCAAAATGCTCTATTGCAGCCATGTTCACTCATTACTTTACCAATTTTCATCATCTCAAATTATCATGCTCAAAAAGTCTCACATGGTAAGATGATCCAAATACCAGACTGATAACTCTTTTATGCTGTCTACAAGCTAAAATTTCCTCTCTGTTCAACAAAAAGCATATCAGCTTCTCTGTACACGTCCTCACTTTGAGCTTATTGTCTGTTGGTGTATGCAGGATCAGCTGGGTCTGAGAGGCATTTAAGGAGTGAAATTATCTTCTTTTCCTAATGAGCAGTCAATCTTAAAATGGATATTTGTTCATAGCATGTCTTGTTGCTGATTCAGAGTGTGGATGGAATATAATCTGACAACTGCTGTAAAAACTGCCTGAAAATTGATCATAGATGCCATCTAGCTTGACAGGACAAGCTAACTTGAAGCGTGCTTTTAAGGACAAGAGCTGCATGTTGTGTGTTCGCTTTAAAGAAATAGTTTGACATGGCATGGCACCACTCTGAGTCATGCAGCAAGAAGCTACAAAAACCAAACTGCTACTATTTTTCTTTAACAGTGCACACGTTTTGAAAATTGCACTCTTAACATTTTTTTTGAAACTAGGATTTAAACAGAAACCTTGGTGTTTAATTAGGTGCTTTTAATGGAAGCACAGGGAGGAAATGAAGGCAAGTTAGAATTAGTCAGGAATGGCAATACGCGGGGATGAAGGATGGCTTTGTGTCATTCAGAGGTGAAGTTGAGCATTGCTGTAGTGCCGGAGCCTGAAAGGACGTGTGACGCGTGCATGTGGAGGAGGCTGAGGAAATGACAAAAGAGCTGCTGTATGAAGCACTAGCTACCCTTTCCTGACGATCTCCAGAGAAAACTAACAATTTCTTCTTTTATAACTAACAACAGATGTTTCAGAAAGTGAATGACAACAAAGCCATTGTGGCACAAAAGCATTCCTACGTTGGAAGTGAATTGGTGAATCCAGCTTGTCTTATTATGTTATGGATCCTACAGTTTTATCTTGGATCCTGCGTGGCCTATATGTTAAAACTATGCACGAGTTTTCAGTGCACAACACTTGCTCTTTGTGAAATGGTGTAACAATATAGACACTTGGCTGGAGACATGAGCAGTGAACAAGAGTGTACATAATTATAATCCTTGTTAATTTTGCAATTATATTTGGTAGCAGTACTTCTGATAGCAGATTACTAATGCAGCCATCTCATTAAAAGCCACCCTCCTCCTTTTTCTCTCTAATGATCCATACAGCATACACATTGCAAAGCACAGGCTAAGCCCATTAGCAATTGCATCTGCATGTATCGTTCTGTAAAGAGATTGGTAGCCGCTATTCTAGAGGAGATTTACATTGATTTAAAATTTTCAAATGGATATAGAAGTGATTTAAAGTGATCAAGTACCTCTTTGCACTTCTCATTTATTTTTCACGTGCTGTACAGTTTAAAACAGAGAATTGCCACTCTTCTGCATCTTTGATTTTATAGACCCTTTGCTTAGGAATGTCATGTTTAGGAACTGTTCGAGTTGCTCTGAATTCTGCATCTATTTCTAGCATTCCTATATAAGTAAATTAAAACTCTCCATGTCCTCCATCTAGCAGAAGTTAAAGTAAGGCTTTACAAGCCACATTTTGCGATCTTGCACTGGCATCTGTCTGAAGAGTCTATTAAATATAGCCTTGAGGTGTTTTCAGGGCATTATTTTTAGAATCACAATTGCTTTATTTATAGACTTACAGTTTTCTGGATTGCTGCAATCAAAAGCCAAAATAGAGAATACAGAAAGTGTCATGAAGAGATTCACCTTCAGATATGGGCTCACTCCAAATTTAATAATAGCTGCAATGTTTGGGCATTAGACACTGGACTGTCAAGATTCATCATGCACTATTTCTCCCAGTTCATTGGTCGCTCTGACTGATGCATAGCAAGTGACATATGTCACAGTTGGAACATGGTATCTCTTCCATAAGGATGAAGTGCAAAGCCAAAGATTTTCCTGTCCCTATTTTATCTTTGGGTTTTGTTGCTTTCTCTTTGTTTTGGCACAAAAATCACTAGGCTATGCTTTTGTATTTATGTATCTGCAGATCTATCCTAATTATTAGGAATAGCCTTAGTATTTTACAATTTTATAGGTTCTCATTATCTAGAGAATCTGTTAAACTATAGCAATGCAGATGAAGATGGATGGCTAGAATTCCTCTGCTTGTCTTGCTGCATTTTGTCAGAACAGCAGGAGAAAAATTCTAGGGCAGGCTATTTGCAGCTGAAAAACGTACTCGCTCACATTTAACTGAGCTTCCAGCTCAAGCAGACATGAAAGAAAGGCTAACCAATTAAACTGTATATTAAAAATATGCCGCTACATATTAAATTCTAATGTAGTGAAACAGTGCTTTTTTTTCTTACTGGCCTCAATGCTTTTCCTTATCTTGGTATAATGGATGTAAAATTATTTTAAAGGGAATTCAGCAAAGTTAGTGCAATAGCACTTAACACAGTCTTCCTATGGTACAGCAAAGAATTTTGAAATAATATTTGGGACTGCAGAATTCAGTCTGGCTGCTTCTCCAGTTCCAACCACACGCAGGCGTGAGTTGGTGTTGCCCTCTCCTGGCTCACTCTGTTCAGCTCATCCTGACAAGTATGCAAGATTGTCAGGTTTGCAACAACTGCCAGTTTGTTAAAAAGAGCTAAGGAAGTAGCAGTTGCACTAGGTTAAGAACTGCCATGCCAGAACCCTTTTCCAGGCCACTTAGCAACAGCTCCCTGCATAAACAGCAGTTGTTTACATGCAAGAAAGAGAACTGGGGGGGAGCAGCTCTTGTTTGTTGGGTTTCTTTGTTTTATAAAGGTGAAAAATCTGCCTGTAGTTCTTGTTAGGGTTATGTGTATGAGAATTAAAACTTCCAGAACTAGAGGTTTGCCTGCTTTGGTAGGTTTTGCGTTCAGGCAATGTTAACACCAGTCACACTTCTGTTCTGTGGTAATACAGTCAAGACACTGCAAATACAATCTTTGTGGCACTGAGGCTTTTTTTTTTTTTAACAATAATTTTTGTGAACACTTTGCTACGACTCTTCTCCAAAGACAACTGGTAAGTTGCCAAACAGATAATCTCGTTCTGTTCTATGAAAATCTCAGGCCTTTTATTCATCGTGCGTAAACTGCATTTGACAGCAGCTTTCCCAGTGTAGAAGAGCCAAGCCAGTGACTTGGTCTTAAGTTTTGGCCAATAGGTTTCAGTGTCTCAGTTATCTAAGAAGCAAATCAGATGAGACCATAGGACTGAATGCTACTTTTGCAGAAGCAGAGAGACGTTTTTGTTGAGAGAGCAGTACAACAAGTCTACTTATTCCTAACTTATTGATGAAATACATTGTCATGCAAAAGGGGTAAAATACACCATCTGTTTTAAATGCACATTTTAGACTTATGCTAGCACATTTACTTTCTCATTTATCTTTCTTTTTGATGCAGTAAAATTTAAAGTGAGATAAAGACTGATAAAATTTTACCTAGTTTTAAGGATACTTACTTCATATAAGCAGCTGGGAGAAAACCAGCAGTTCACGGACATCCACGCTTGTCCTTCTTGCAGAACAAAGAATACGTATGTCGTGGCCACGACTATGAGAGACTGGAAGCCTTCCAGCAGCGGATGCTGAGCGAGTTCCCACAAGCCATTGCAATGCAGCATCCAAACCACCCCGATGACTCTATACTGCAGTGTGATGCCCAGTGTATCCTTTGATGAACAGGCAAACTATGGCTGTTAAAACTGTGGTAGGGCACAATGGCAGAAAGTACTGAAAAGGTTATCATCTTGGATGATCTCAGTTCATATCTGTCTTAAGTAGAGGTGGATACGAGCAAAACCATACAGCTGTCTATAGCAGACATTAACTAGTTCACTGCAGTATGTGTGGTTGGATAGAACTGTCACTTTTTATTCAGGGAGTAATGCAGATCGTATTCTCTGTGTAGGGCGGAAACACAGTGCTTCGTGGTCACATCCATGCTTTAACCTTTACTAACAGCATTTCCATAGTGGACATTTTGTTTCATCAAATGTACATCCCCGATACCTTCTCTTGGAGAACATTTTGTTGGGAGCAGGTATGAATTTACAAGTGTTCTTTTCCATTGTGTTTATTTTTCACTTCCGCTTTCTCTTCTTGCAGTTTCCATTTTAAACTGCTGGACTCCCACATATATCAATCAGGCTTTGAATCTTGTTCTTCTCTTTGGTACTCTCTCTGTCCTGTGATTTGATGCAGCCAATAAAATGCTATGCACATTGGAGGATGTACTGAAGTGCCTGCACAAATTAAGCACCTAGCTCCAATTCAGTAAAATGGGAACTGGATATTTTGCCTACTCTAGATATTTTTTAAGGTCTTACTACATACTCCCTGCATCCTCAGGCATTCTCCTTGTTGGTTGTCTGGCCATAAGGTCCTATAACTCTGTAAACTCTCCTAGTATGCTCTAGCCTAGTGTCCCATCATTTCACTTGCAAAGAGGAGGTTTGGAAAACCAAGGAGAGTGCAGCTTTCCAAATTCACCATCCTGTTTCTTTCCACAGTAGTGTTAGCTTTCCTGTTTCATGTCCTGTGGCTTTCTTTGACTACATCATCTGCAGATTTACAGATCTATGCAGTGACTCCCATCCCGGACAATATTGATGTGCTGCAAATGGACCGTGTCCCTGATCGCATAAAGAGCTTTTACCGAGTCAACAATATCCGGAAATTCCGCTATGACAGGCCTTTCCATAAAGGCCCAAAGGACAAGGAGAATGAATTTAAGGTAGAAGTAGTCAGTAAGCAGTATTTAAGTGCTAATCTCCTCAAGGCAAATACCATCTTGTTATTTTATGCTGACAGACCATTCCAAGTAATCTGATTTTATGACCGAAGATGCTATAATAAATCAAATGTGGCTGTTTCAGTCTGACCTGATTAAAGCATTGTCCAGGTTAAAGGCGAGTTATTTTAGTGCCAGGAGAAATCCATTTTGAAACAATGATGGTTTTTTACTTGTTTGGAATTTTTTTTCTTACTGACATATACATGTCCACATTGTCCTCTTGGTTCCTATGACAGAACTGGTGGCCAGCCTCTAAAAATTAATAGAAATGTTTAAGGTCTTGCTCTAAAACATACTGGATTCTTTCTTAGTGTTAAATATAAAGTGACTTTCAACGTGAAATTGCAGTACATTTTGCAATACATGTTACAGCTTAGGAGGTTAATACATTCTTCTATAAGCTTTACCCCTGTAACACCTGTAGTAAAAGTACAGATGTTTTGGATCATATTCACTGTGTACCTCACATCCTCAATTATTCTTTGCAGAGCTTGTGGATTGAACGTACCACTCTGACCTTGACTCACAGTTTGCCTGGGATCTCTCGTTGGTTTGAAGTGGAAAGAAGAGAACTGGTAACATTCCTATTTCCTGGAATATGTGAGGTTTGAAATGATGAATTACTGAGGACATGGGATAGGCAACTTAAAGTCCTTTGACTGCAATCTTGCGGTTTAAAATGATCAAGTTTACTGGTGGTGAAGTATGTCCTTTTTCCACCCCTTAGCCAAAGTAATTTCTGAACATAACTAGGGGAATTATGTGAGCGAACATGACAATATAGTGGAGAAAGTGCCAAAAAGATGGAATATTGCATTGTTATCATGTCTTCAGTTTACAGAAAGAAGTTATGGTAGACCAGTGATATAGCAGTTCCAACAGTGAAGTTTGTTAATATGTAGCTGATTTTCTACAAAGCAATAAAAAACGAGAGAGATCATTGAACAATCTGGGAAAACCACTTCATTACAAGGAAGATAATAAATCACAGTGACGTGTCCATGGAATTAAAGTGTATTTTCTTGCCTTTGAGGTTGAAGTAAGTCCTTTGGAAAATGCCATTCAAGTGGTTGAGAACAAAAACCAGGAGCTGAGAACACTGATAAGCCAGTACCAGCATAAACAAATGCATGGGAACATTAATCTTCTCAGCATGTGTCTGAATGGAGTGATTGATGCAGCTGTGAATGGGGGAATTGCACGATACCAGGAGGTAAGCCAGGCTGTGCTTGTGAATTTAGTATCAACTGCTCAGTTGTATTTCCATGTTTCAAAAAAAGAGTATCACTTAATAAGAAAACAAATGTTCACGTTATGTGAACATGAAGTTAAAATTTCATACTTAGTTATTCTGCATCAGTGCTCACATAGCCATGTGTCAACATGACTACCCAAGTGTGGATTTGGGATGTCACATTGAAGTAGGCATAGTTAATAATGGGGCTTTTTAAGAGTGAGCTTGACTCACCTGGAAATCCTGACGTGGCAGGTACAAGAGTGAAGCAGAAAGGGGTTTTTGTTGTTTTGTTTTTTTTTTTTTCTTTAATGCTGCTTGCCTTGTAAATCTATTTCACAAAGGTGGCAATGGGATTTATGGTAATGGAGACCGACTGGGTCTTTAATTAGGAAAAGCTGCTGATTTGTGTTACTGAAGCATTATCTTTGCTAGGCTAATTTCAGACTCACTGTAACCCTAAAAGGATCTGATATGCAGTACGTTAACTGGTATGTTCTTGGGCAAGCTGGTACTTAAAGCTTTGTGTTGCTGAAGGATAAGTCTAGTGTGAAATTTTGAAAAATGACAGTGTCTGGGACATGTCTTCCCTGCAGAGCCATGCAGAGATGCTCTTCATCCTTGGCATTCATTCCACCTGTACTCACTGAATTCCTTTAACTTAAGGTAGTTATGTGAAGGAAACTATTGTTGAATTCAAATAATTGGATGAGGGAAGACTTAGCAGTATTGCTTGCTACTGTCACGTAGGGAGATTTGATCAGATCCATGACCCTTCAGGGCTGAGGAAGTCTGCCTTACGCTGTTCAATACTGATACCTCTAACAGAGCGGCAGAATCATCTAGGCTGCTAAAACTGTACTGTAGCTTTACCTGAATGCTCGAACGCTAAAAGCAGTACAACGGAGCTTCTGCTGTAAGCTTAATATATTTCATTTTCCTGGAATTTTAGACCTTTTCCTGTCGTCCTTTGACACAGACTTATGATGAAATCTCTCCCAGTAATCAGAAGGATTTTTTCTTTTTTTTCTTTTTTTTTTGTTCCCCTACAGGCCTTTTTTGATAAGGATTATATCACAAAGCACCCTGGGGATGCAGAGAAAATCACACAGCTGAAGGAACTCATGCAGGAACAGGTACTGTTTTTCAGATGCAAAAAAATATTGCTACGGTGTCTGTATTCATCAGCAGTCAGTCTAAAAATACCAGATCCAGCTGATTCATTCAGAAGCAAAGAAATTCCGTATAGGAGATTTAAAATATGTTTAAAACAAAAGGAGAAGAGATGACCAAGGAGTTTATGAACACCCATTCAGCTTATGGGGCGTGATTTGAAGCTCAGCTAAGATTATATGAGTTTCATTGTCTCAATTTATTATCCAGCAGGCATCTTGGCATATTTCAAATCTGCCATTATTTTTGGCATTTTGAACCATCTCTTCCTGGTAGGTTTCAAAGATAATCAGAGTCAGGGCAGCCCAGGTTAGGATTGAGATAATATTGGTAGAGCCACATGGGAACACTTGATGCCTGTTAATGTTATCTACAGTTTTATTTTTTTCTTAGTGTCTCTAAGAAACATCTTGGTAGATAAAACTAGCTGAAGGCTTTGATGGGAATGAAATCAGAAAATATATTCCTGTTAATTGGCGGTTTGGCAAAAATATACTCTATTAAACAATGTGTTCAAGTCTGAACAGAGGTACTAGGCCTGTCTCTTCAACAGATTGCTTAACTGCATTTCAGATTTCCCATCTGTAAAATAAAGATAATGCTTATCTCCCTTCAATCCTCAAGAGGATGTTTGAAGATTAATTAGCTATTGTTTGTACAGAATTTGGATCTTGTAGGGAATTACATACATCTAAAGCCTGCTATCATTATTATTTTCTTTCATCTGAGAGCTTACATAATCTCATTCAATTATTAATATTATATTTTTGACCTTTGAAAATGTGACCTTTTTAAATAAATAATGAGCAACGAAAAAAGGGTGAGTATGCATGCAACACTGCCACTGTTCAGCTTAATTATCAGAAACTCCTTTCAGAAATCTCTGTTGGCAACTTTGAACCCTTTTCTGACACTAGGTAGAAGGAATTTTCTTTGTCATAATGAATTATCTGTGTGAGGACTTAATGCCTGGAGAGTGAATCAATCTGGTAATTTTTTACAGTTATCTCTAGCAAATGTAATCCAACATGACATAAATGTACTTGTCTCACACTTAAAGTACTTGTTGAAGTAATAGGAACTTGCCAGGTCTCCTAGGTTTACTTCGTTATCAGCAGTCTTGCAAATGAACAGTGGGATGTTTCACAGTACTCTTGCTCATTGGCAGAACTGAGGGTTAGACCTCTGTTCTGTCTCTTAGACTGGATTTATTTGGTTTTGTGATGTTACAATTTCTTTTTAATAGGTACATGTCTTAGGAGTGGGTCTGGCAGTCCATGAAAAATTTGTACACCCAGAAATGCGTCCTCTACACAAGAAACTGATAGATCAGTTCCAGATGATGCGATCGAGTTTGTACCATGTAAGCTGATACCCATGTTTCCTATTTTGAATCGTTCAAGAGTTATGATGTCTGTCAGTTGCAGTGAGGTTCACCTAATGCAGATACACTATTGATTAAACCTACTAGATTGCCAAATTATAAAAATAATTCTTGATTTGTGTGGAAGTCCTAGTAAGTCTTTTAACTTACCCTAGGATTTTTAATATCTGTAATGTTGGTTTTTTTACATCTTATTATCACAGAACAATTGTAAAGCTTAACTTTCAGCTATTGTCTTACATAGCATAAAGTGCTGTAAAACAGAGGAAAAAAGATTAATAGAAAGTGTTAGATGTTCAGCTCTTAAAAAGAATTGTCATAATCTGGAGGAGAGTGATGTGGATTAGGCCCCCAGGAAGTGTTTCTGTATAGACAGCGACAGAAATTCCTGTTGGTTACTTTAGGCATGCAACTCTGGTGATCAAGACACGCAATATTATGGGTCTACATTTCCTATATAGTCAACGGAACTGCTTCCAGAGCGTGGTTCCCACCACCTGTTACATACCAGAAGTACAAATACCATCCTGTAAGAATGATATCTTTCCATCCATTTGTGGTCTGCTGTACATTAGTATTCTGTGTGACAACTGCACTTGAGACATCTTTGCCAGGTGGGTCTTAGAAATTGCAGGGCACACTTTGCTTCCTGCTACAGTGTAATTTTCATGGATACTTTGACACTGCCATGAACATTATCACAGTAAAACTGAAGGATATCTTTCTATAATGCAAAAGCGTACTTTGAAATATGTATGTTTAGCATTTTACTTTCCAACTGGCACATAGGTATTTTCTGAAAGTTATCTTCTAACTGGAAGGATTTTTTTTCCTCCATCCTTAGCAGTGAACACTCTGCAATGATGGCCACAAGTGGCAACATAAGAATTTTGAAACATGGCCTTTTTTTTTTTTTAATACAAATGAGATCCATATGGGTCACATCTGCCAGTCTGAGCTCACTGCCTTTTTTGTGTGTTTGGACAAGATCTCAATTCTCAAGTCCATATGTCTTTTTTGAAAAATGTAGGTGGCTGTAATCTGGAACACCCTATGCCTGTGTTTTCCTCCCAGATTCCTGACATGGTGACTAGAAAGTATTATTAGAAATAAATAGAGAATAGGGATATAAAGTGCTGAAGCTCTTAGGTGTAACTAGAAATGCAGAGTAACTGTAGAGAACATGGAAAGAGATCAGGATTTTTCTGAGAAGAAAAGAATACTGTTTTATTTTTCTCACGACCAATTTAGATAAAACATCAAAAATAATTAAGTGACTTTGTGTTTTCTGTGCAGGAGTTACCTGGTTTGGATAAGCTGAGTCCAGCCTGTTCCGGCACTAGCACACCACGCAGCAATGTTCTGGTTTCGCATGGACCTATGAGCCCAGAGAGCATAAAGCTGGTGCATCGACACAGGTAACCTGTTTTTTCTACTGAAGTATCTAGGATCTGCACCGTGTTGTACTTGCATTCTTGGAACTCTGGAGAAAAGAGTAAGAGTAGAACTGCATTAAGAGCAATGTTAACCACAGCCAGGAAGTGATTAACAGTACGGTAGAAGGAGCAGAATGAGTTTTGGCAAGTGTCCTTCATGTTCGTTTGTGATAAATATTGAAGTTGAGGGTTGGAATCAAAAAGCTGGGAAATCCAGTTTACAGCAAATCCTAAATATCTCCAGATGTTATTCCATCACTCTGCTTACACATTGCAAAGACAGAAACACGTCTGCCACCCAGATTCTTTTCAGCTCTCCAAATTCAATCTGACTTTGGACGTTCCAACTTCTCATACTTCTGCTATGCAAATGGCAAATAAATGGGTGTTTATCTGTCATAAAATGACAATTTTATTGCTTGGTTTAGAACTCAACTCACATTATACCCATTTTTAAGACTCCAAAAACATTCACATCATTGTTTTCTAAAATTCTGATCAAATCAGGACCCAAATACCATCAGAAAGGCTGTCTGTTTTGATCAGAAAATAAAAAAAAAAAAAATTGCTCAGCCTTCAGAGGAACAGCTGAAAATGCAGATGTTCATTCAAACTGAATACCCATCCATAAAAACTGGCATTGATAGGGACTGATGAGGACAAAAAATTGTTTTTTTTTTTTTTTTTTTTCAGGACAAAACACAAGGTTTCTGTATCCAGCAAAAATTGCTTAATTGAAGATTTGTATAACAAAGCTAGTAGAAACACAGTGACAGGAATGTCTCTCAGGTTGTGAAATTTCAGTTGTTTCTCTGTGTAATTTCTATTTGTGGATCCACATAGCTGTTTTTAAAGCTTTGCGTGAAAAGCTGTGAAAACTTACTCTTAAGTACATGAATCCAGGATGGTGATATTTTTAATACTGAAATTTTGCAGCTCTTATACTTCTTTAAGGGTTTGGGCAGTTGACAGTTAGGGTCTGGGTGATACCATTTTTTTCCTCCAAATTCGCCAATCTGTAAAGCCCTTCTTAGTTCTTAGGGTAAATTAGGGAGACTCTATAGTGTACAAAATAAGTATTTGTGCATATGGTTCAGAATGAGAAAGAAAATGCTTTTCATGATTGACAGAGACCAGAGTGCAGCCTGCAGACCAGTTAGGCTCTATTAATTTACTGTCAGCCACAAAGTCACCTTCCCCTGTATTGCTGAGGCCCAATAGATGCAGAAGGGAAAAACGTGTTTGGACCTGGGTGGCTTCTGCTTGGCTTCCATTGGAATAGTTTTTATAAACTGTCTCCATACACAGTGCTTCAGCATTAAAAATGAGAGTGCTTTCAGAATGTTCTGTTATAAACAAAAATGGATATATACCCAGGATCATGACATGATGTTAACCTTGCTTTGGATTCTGAAATTTTACATCCTACATACTAAATTATTTGAAGAGTAGTCTTACTGCCAGTTCCATAAATATATGTATTTATGAAAGATATATTTTGGCTTCTTTGGCCTGATTGTTTTCAAAGTGTTTGACATCTGGAGGTCACCTAAGGCAGTGGGGAACTGCAGGTACTTATTAGCCTTGAAAAATTAAACTTCACAAATATTAAAACACAGGTTCAAAAAGTAACATTGCCCTTGTTCTCTGTTTCTTTTTCCAGCCCACTGAACTTGCTTGGTTCAGTCCGACACTCGTCATCCTCTCTGTCATCCCACACCTCCAGCGAAACAGGAAACCTGGTTATCCTAACAGACAGTTCTGTGGGGGAGACTGCTGAGGATATGTACCACATGCAGGTAGAGCTCCAGGACATCCAGGAGCTATTGTGAGAAATAGCATTGAACATGCGCTGTAGGGTTACTCTTAGGAGGAGGATAATTTACCCGTCCCTACACTTGGATCTGTCCTGTGAGATTTTTTTCTGGAAGAACTGAACAGACAGAATCTAACATTGCTCAAGAAAGGTGACGGTAATTCAGTCAGGTTTGCTTTGGGAAGAAGTCTTCTGTATCTCTGCAATGAAAGTTGTGAATGTGGTCTGAGGTCATACCTTTGCTTTCAAAAAGTGAGAATTTAGTCAACGTGTTATTTATCAGACCTGTTCAGCACATAGAAATGCTTGCGATACTTGATAACAGTGCTCTTGGTTTGTGAGGGCCTGGAGTGAGTCCCACAGCCCTGGGTGCAAAGTAACAGTGGGCTGCACTGAAGCTATTTCCTAGACAGAGGTCACACTGGGTGATCTGAGACAGGTAAATATCTAATGCATTGATCCACTCAGTTCTCTTTTGATGATTTCTCTGCCTCCTGCAGCTTGTTTACCCTAACTCCAGGTACCAAGGCTCAGTCACCAACGTGTCTGTTTTATCCTCGTCCCAGGCCAGCCCTTCCACCTCAAGCCTGAGCTCTACCCACTCTGCACCATCCCAGATGATTAACTCTGCCCCTTCCAGTGCACGAGGTAAGAATGGATGGACTCAAGGGAAGGGTTCCCCTAAGTCTTTCAACTTGTTGGCTTATAGGTCAAACTATCGTGCTGCACTGAAATACACCACTGTTTCTCTTTTGGAGTTGGAATTGTGTCTTCAAAAATGATTCCTCTAAAATGCTTTTCATTCTCCAAAATGGATGTACTCATTTTTCTTCAGCAGTATTTGGAATATATCTCTGGTACACCCTGGTTTCAGGCAATTGAATTCTGCCATGGTTTCCATTATCCCTCCACAAAATTGTGGCAGGCAATCTAGAAGAAAACAAGAATATTCTTTGGTACAGTAGTCGAGAGGTAGATCAGGAAGTCAAAGGTAAAAGATTTAGTTTACATTACATTTAATGAAATTATGGCACAAAAATGAACTTGAGGCAGGTTACCATAAATGTATGCATATGAAAACATATAAGTACAATGAATGTTGAAAGATAAGAACTGTAAGTACCAGAGTTAAAGTAGGACTTCCCTACGGGGAAATTCTTTAAGAAAGGGAAAAATTAAAACAGACTCTAGGGATACTTACATTGCCTTTGCTGTCAGAGTAGCTGGTCTTGATATAGCTAAACATTTTCTTCCCATGCCTCAGAGCTGAAGCAGAAGCACTTCAGGCAAACTCCAGGCTTTGGTAACTTCTATTCAAGTTTTTTTCTCTCCTTTTGGAATCTCAGTTGCAGGTTCACCAATTTCTACACCGCTTTTCACAGGTGTATGAAGAAGGTCTTCAAGATGCAGTCAGAGATAGGGACCGCTATATTTAAATCTTACCCCTTTCTCCCATACAGGGGAATTGTTATGTCTCCTTATGGGCAGAGAAAACAGAGCAGGGGAAGATTTTTATTGCTTGTTAACAAGTAAAAACCTCCATTCTCTCGAGCCAGTTTGGGGCTTTTTTGCTCAGTCTTGCAATAAAATCTTAATTGACTGGCTGTTGAAATGACACCGATGTATCAAAGTGATTTAATTGGACGATCAGATGGCGTAGGAAGGTGAGAAATGGAAGTCTTCAAAAATGCAAATGGCTTCGCTAATTGCCAAGAGCTGGAAGGAAAATAGTGACAATTCAAATAGTAAAGTAACAAAATGAAACTGGCATAACAGGAAAGGAAAGATGGAACCGAAAATAGGGCTATGATGTCAGGAAGACACTCTTAAATGAACGTGCCTCTAGCTGGCATGTGAGATCTGAATCTTTTGGGGGAACTGAAGGGTTTTGGTGCTCATAGCATTTCAGGCTATTTTCCACTTTAAAAATCTCGTAGTCACAGTGACAGGCTGTGCCAGTCTTTCTGAGCCTGATGACCTCACAGCAGCACCAACTTCCCTCTTAACTGTATTCTTTGCTGTTGCTTAGAAACCAAAGTAAGGAATGCTACTGAAGGGTGTGCTGCTGATGGATGAGTCAACAGCACCTCCCAGAGATGAGAACTAGACAATGTAAATGACCACAAATGAGGAAGCAGTAAGAGAAATAATGATTTTGAAAAATACTGTAATATATCTTTATTTTATTCTTCCCTCTTACTAACATGTTTTGATAGCTTATGATTAAACGTTTCTTCTCTAGTAGTTTTGTTCATTTTCAGGTTAGGTGAGCATAGTATTCACGGTTTACCCACTCATAAATTATGAGGTTTTATTTCTAGTGAAGTCTCAGATCTTTTCTGTGTTTCATAGTGTGCAAGTCACTCCTCTGGTTATTATGACACTGATACTTGGAATGGAATTGTTCATAACAAGGAAAAGCCCTTCACTTAAGCTCCACTGTGGTACTATAGCTTTGGTTTTCTCCTTGGTGATTTTTCATTTTGTTTTGTTTTTGAATTGGGTGAATTTGATGCTTATAAAAAATGAGAGAGCAGTGTCACTGGCTGGAGCAAGGTACTTCACAAACATTACATGTGCAGCTCTGCCAATGCACCTCTATCCTTTTTTTTTTGTATTTATTTATATTCTTTTTAATTTAGTGCTGGTGAAAGGTGCTGGATTGACAACACTGGAGGCTGAAGCCCTCTATTTATCCACAGAACAGATACAGCATGGGCGGCAGCCGTGCAAGCTTCCCCACGCTGCCCCCACCAATGTGCCTCATCTCTGTCCTGGAGGAACCACCTCTAGAGGTGAGAGGATAGTTCAGTCTCCATGACCCATCCAATCCTTGGCCTTTCTGCTGAGACTGCCAACAAAGCTATGATAGTCACGATGCTGCAGCTAACCACTGTTCAGACAGGAAGCATACGAAGGCCAACGATTCATTTCATACAGGCCACCAAAATTTATCAACTTAGCATCTTTGTCACCTCTGGCTCTAAGCTGAGCATGATTATCTATATTTCTAGTTTTTTATCAGATGTTTAAATGCTTCCCTTATTGATTCACATGTTAGCCTAGAAGTGAAAAAACATTATCCCATTACGTTCTCATATACCACCTTCTCTTTTTAACTGCAAAGTCCTTTCTGGAGCTTAGCTACTAACACTGTTCTGAGGAGACAGGTTTCTTTATAAGATAGATTAGTTACATCAGTGACCAAAAGAAGCCACAGCCATTTGCATTAAGAATCCAGCAGGA